TCTCCCTCTCTCTCTGCCCCTCCCCCGTTCATGCTCTGTCTCTCTCTGTCCCAAAATAAATAAAAAACGTTGAAAAAAAAAAAAACAAAAAAACTAAAAACCAGGGGCGCCTGGGTGGCTCAGTTGGTTAAGTATCTGAGTTTGGCTCAGGTCCTGACCTCATGGTTCGTGGGTTTGAGCCCAGCTTTGGGCTCTGTGCTGACAGCTCAGAGCCTGGATCCTGCTTCAGATTCTGTGTCTCCTTCTCTCACTACCCTTCCCCACTTGCGCTCTGTTAAATAAGTGTTAAAAAAAATTAAAACTAAAAACCACAAGTGAATCAAAGATCTTAGTCTATGAAGTAAACTAGATAGTACATGTGCACATGAGTGTGTGTGGGTGCACACACACACACATAAACTACAAGTGAGTCATAGGTGGATATTACAATGGGGTGAATGTGTCCAATCTGTAAATAAAGCAGATACAAAGATGAACCCCTGACTTAATCTGTTACAGAATTCTTGGTCTGGAAAATCATGGTCTGTTAAGGAAAGACAAAATTGAAAATACTCATTCAGCTTCCATTCTAATACATTAGCTAAACACACTAAGTGTTTTATGCACAGATAGTAAATTGAAATGGTAAAACAACAACAATGACAAAGCAACAGAACTAAAACAAGCAAGAAAAAACTGTTTTCTGCATTATACCCAAAGATCCCCCCCCACCCCCGATATCTCTGCCTGCCGGTATTGAAAAACAAATACAGTCTAGCAATTATGGAAAGAACCTATTAAGCCAAGAGAGTGTCTCACTACCCATTGGCATCAAAAGTTCAAGAGCCCTCAGGCTCCTCTAACAGTTCCTTAAAAAGAGCGATGAACTGAGAAAGCTCTACTGGGGCCAAGCATTCCATGGAAGTTCAGAAGCAAACAAAGGCAGACTAGCCCACCCAGCATCACAGCTCATTAAGGTGTTTTATATTCAAGTGAAGTAAAACAGGAAAATATCACCACGCTTCTCATGTGAAATGAAAAGAAATTGAGTCATCCAGCATCATTAAAATAAAAAGAAGCTAAAAATATATCTCCATGAGCAAACAGCCACTTGCAACCTGTAACATACACTTGGCCATGTCTTACCCTGTAAAGTACATCAGGCTAAGAGAATTCATTATTGTGAAATGTAGGTTCTCCCCTCATCACTAGTCAACCTGAACCCTAGCCTGGATTGTCAAGTACACATGAGTTTGATGGGATTCAGTTGTTTAAGAGAAGGAAGAGGGGGAATTTGTAGGGCTTACCCAAGTTTCAGCTCCTGTATTTATTAGCCATTGGCTTTAGGCAAATAATTTAGTCTCTGTACCTGTTGCTTCATGTATAAAATGAGATTAAAAACTATTTCATTGCCTTCTTCACTGTATTTAAAAGTATGTAGTAAACTGGTTGATTCTACAGAATTGACAGTTTTCTTATTATATGTAATTTATGAAAATAAAATCAGATTATTTGGGTTTACAGGAGAAATACATTACACCAAATGTACTAAATATATCAAGTTTCATATTTCTATACAGATAGCTATCACAAGGCTAGGTAAACAAAGATTTCTTGAGTTATTACCTAGTGATCTAGTTATCATCCTAGCATATCACAAAAGTGCACCCTCACCTCCTATAGGCCTTTTAATAATGCCTAAAGGATATCTTATCTTTTACTGTTCTCTTGTAGCACTCATAGGATGTCCACGCGTGATATCTTTCAAGTGTCCACCTTAAGTGAAACCCCTTAGCAGAGACTTATTGCATTCAGTTGGCAGATGTGAGCCAATCACTCTGGATGTTTTATCACTAACCAGATGTCCACTCAGGCCAAACTGACCATACCATACTGATAAGGGAGCATGAGGCAGACTGAGGGGCAAAAACAGAAGCTAGCACCCCACCGCACCCCAGGTGGGATCTGTGTGATATTCCTTGGACACTCCTAGCTACCCAAGAACAAAAGAAAGGGGTTTAAGTGCTTGCCATGGTAATGTGGGAAACTAAGGCAAATGAAAAATTAAATTCTCTTACTGCCTATAGCCTATTGACAAGTCCTTGAGACCAGCAGAGTGACCTCCCTCTAGGAGCTCAGCTGCCTCAAGGATGACACTTTGCTAGGGGCAAAAGAGAAACTTGGCTTAACATTGTCCCAATCTTGAGGATCCTGTAAGTCTACTTCCTTTATCTCAACTGCCCCAGAATCATGCTCCAAGTTTACGTCCCTGCACCACCACATGCATCTGAAGGGTCTCATGACAGGTTTGATTAAATGGTGATAAATGATGTTTTCCTACCAACAGCTAGCCCCTTAAGGTCCTGGAAATCTTCCTTCCAAAATACCTTAGAGATTTACTTAATCCCTGACCCCCTCCCAACCTGAGGGTATATAATGAGTTACCTATCATGACCCCTGTGTAGCTCTTCCTGCCCAAGGGTCCTGTTCCCATGCTTTAATAAAATCACCATTTTGCACTACAGATGTCTTCAAGAATTCTTTCTTGGCCATTGGCTCCGGACTCTACAAACCCCCCATTACCCCAAAACTTCACCAATACTGTAGGTCTTGAATTATCATGACCCTTTGGAACTATAAGAGAATTTAAACTTCATTATAGATAAAATAATTTAAAAACTAATTTTTGTCATCATTAACCTTCCCCAAATGATAAATTAATAAACAAATGTTTTATCTAATTCAGTATACATTTTAGGGCTATATATTGGAGAGACACAGCCCAGCAGACTCTAAGCCTCAGGTGAGTGATGGTCCAGAGAGGCCAAAGACCTCCAGACAGTAATCAAGACATAGGACAATTAGGGGGAACTTATATACAGGGACTCCGGGAGCAGCTGACTAGACAAAGAATCCTCTGCAGCCAGTTTTTATAGCATAGCAACTTAACCAAGCAACTATCAGTGGCCCTTCTATGATAGGAAAAGATAGGCTTCAGTAGACAGAGAGGGAAAGATTAGGACCTGAGATCCCTGGGTGGGAAAAACACCAAGGCTGGGAGTGTCTGACCATGGCAAACCCTCTGAGGCGTAAAGTTCCCCTTAAGAATGTAACAGATACCACCTACTCCCCTTCAGGTTTCCCACAATAATTTTACTAAGGACTAAAAACAAGTAGTAGGCCATAACATCTATGACCCACAAAGAATGATATGGCCATAGACCACCCCTCGTACAATGAAATCGAGCCGATCAGAATGGACAACCCAGCACCTAGAGTTATCAAGCCTATAAGGGTAGGACCTGGGAAGGAAGGAGGGCAAGGGTGAAGGATGGGCTGACCAGAACCTTATAAAACAAAGACCCTAGCTATAGACTATATGTATATAGTTATTGACTACAGGTCAAGGGCATTCACTTTTGAATGTCCCCTCTCTATAAAGAGAGCTTTCATACTATTCTTCCTTTCTGATCTTATACTCGAATAAAGTTTTGCCTGCTGCTCATTTTGTGTCCACTTCTTCATTCTTCAGAGTGGTGAGACAACAAACCCTGGTACTGAGGTAAAAAATCCTGCAACACTTCCACCCGTCTGCATGGCCAGCATTTCAAAGGTGATTAAAGCCAGGCACCTGGACACTTTTCATTAAAAGGGAGATGCTCTGGGTTTGCCACCCTTGGGGCCCCTGACCTTGAACACTGAACAACACATTCCTCTGCACATTATGCCTGATGGGAATATGGAGGGAGGACAGGGTCTTTACAGTTTCAAGAAAGTGATTAACAGGGTAACTCAGGGTATGTTTGCACAAACTAGCTATCTAGCATATACCATAGAATTGTGACATCCCTTAAGTCATTCCCCCTCAATTTTTCATCATGAAGTTCAAATATACAGAAAAGTCGAAAGGATAGTTCAGTGGTCACCAGTATACACACCACTTAGATTCAATATTTGTTTATATTTTGCCATGTTTATCATGTATAGATTATGTACCACATTTTTTTGATAAACTATTTGAAAGTAAACTTTAGACACCATGTTTTATCCCTGAATACTTCAGCATGCATCACCTAAAAAAATTTTTTCCTCCTAAACTGTAAATTCATTATCATCTAAGAAAACTAACATTTTTCCTAATATTTCCTAATACTCTGTATTCACATTTCCTCAATTAAACACAAAATTCCTTTTATATCTTTTTTTGCAATCCTAATTTTGCATAGAATTATACTTTTTATACTTTAAAAAAAAAAAAAAAACAAGGATCCAACCAGGGTTTACATATTGTATTTGGTTTTGGTTGCTATGTTTTTTTAGTTTCTTTTACTTTAGAATGGCTGCCTTCTCCCTACTTTTTATTTTAATAACATTGGCTTCTTGAAAAGTTCAGTCCAGGTGTTCTTGTAGAATGCTTAACTCCCGCATTTTCTGTAAACTGAAGGTAAGGTCAAAAGATTTCTTTAGATTCAGATATTTTGGCAAGATTACTTCAAGAGTGATGCTGTGCTATATTTCATATTTGCATTATAACAGGGGCACATTAGGGCAAGTTATTCCATTCTAAGTAATTTAAGGCTGATCCCTTGGTTAAGGTGGTAATCTGATAGTTCTCCTGGAAAAGGTACATTTTCTTCTTTGCAGTGAGTAACCTGTAAAGCCATAATTGTATGATGTAAATATTGTACCTTCCAACAACTTCTTCCATACTACTTTATGCATACTCCAATAATCTCTTGCCTCAGCCAATCACATCATGGAGGGTTGCATAAATGTTGATTTCTAATTCCCTTCTTTCTTCTGTATTTATTAACTGTCATTTTTTTCTGTACAAAAAAAAAAGAGCTTTCTATTATCAATTTGAGCTGAAATATCTTTCCTCGCCAAAAAAGACAAAGTAAATGATTCATTCCTTCCCTTTAATTAGCAATTTTCACAGTAAAGATTCAGTGGAAGATTTAACTCCAAGGGTGGTAAATGAGTTTTATTCTTTTGATTAGCATTATTGGGTTCATAGATTTGAATTTGCTCAATGCTTTACAATCAATTAGACTCATTATTCTTTTTGATATTCGAATTATCACAAATTTGGCTAGTGGGAATCCCAGCAAGTTCAGTCTTTGAGTGCTTTCAATGTTGTTTTGAAATGAGAGATCCTAGGCTCACCTGCTGCAGACTGAGGATCGCCTATTTCTCCAAGAAGTCCTAGTTCCTTCTGGTAGGAATTAGATGTGGTCATCACTACTGGACTGTCATTCTTTCATAGGCCATTTCAGAGGGCAGACCTAGGAAACATACGTTAAAAATTACAAATTCATATTAAAATTTCTAATCACTTTTATCTTCTTCCAAATATTTTGTCCCCAAAGTTTTGGATCCTGATAACATAATCATGTTTACATTTTTACGCTAAAGTATTTATAAAATGGTTTCAAATTAACTAGACAAATAAAACCAGTAGCAATGAAACTAGTGAGTTCAACTTTTCCCCTTAGAATATATCCCAGTAAGAAACTACTATTAGAGTTAAAGGTAACTCAAATTATTTTTTCCTCTGTATTATGTTACCAAATTTATATATAGTTTTATTATTTTTGTTTCTTTTAAGTTATGTGTTCTGCTTCCTCCTGTTTGAATTTATTCAAGTTTTGAATATATAAAACATTTCTCCTTTTTCTCCCTCTGTACTTAACATATTTTAAAATGTCCAGTTTCCCTTATGATAAAAGAAATGAAGATTAAAATGTATAAGTCTGACAATATACTTTTTGGAGCAGATGTGAAAAAAGAGACTTTCATACCTTGATAGTAAGAATGCAAAGATATACAACCCCTGTAAAGGTGAATTTATAACATTTTTAATCTTGCTGAACGAATGTGTGTTAGGTATCCCTCATGTAGATTGCAATGAATTGAGCTTGGGGGAGTTTTCTAAAAATCTTATCATTTAATTAAGTGAATTAAGCCCATTGGTATTGATAGAATTCATACATTTAGCCTCATCTCTATTATATTATTTTATTTTGGATATTTTGAGTGCATTGTATTTGTTAGTTTTTTCACTACAGGTTTTTTAAAATTTTTTTGCTTGGTATCTTAAAACATATATATGTTTGTTTAAATATTTTACTAGTCACTGTATATAATGTTCCTACTCACCTTTGTTCTTATTTAGTCCTGTATTACTCCATTTGTTAGCAATTAAATGGTATTTTTATCCTCTTGTACCACCCATTCAGCAATCACTGAGTTTCTTATGCTTTCCCTTTTCCTCTTTCCTTTCTTTTCCCAGTTTTAAGTTGTGTTATTTTCCTTTCTTCAAGAGCATGTGGCATCTATTCCATCCTTAGAACCACTTCTGCTTTAGGCTTAGCTTTCTTGCAGAACATATTCAATACCCCACAGTTCTCTGGCCAATTTACCCAATAATCATTTGGTTGAATCAGCCTCACCCTCCTGTTAACTCCTTGGGAAAGGCTTATGATTACAATATTCTTGCCAATTTTAAACTGATTTTTCTATAGCCTTGATACTGTAAGGTGAACTTGCCTGGATTTAAAATCCCTGGCTCTTTGTTTTCTTTCCTAGATTTAAACTGTTGCCCTTTTATGCCCTTTATTGTATGTTCCTGTTGAGAAGTCTTATGCCAAATGGGTAGATGATTTCATTTGTAAGTTACTTGGATTTTTATTTTTTGCTTGTTTTTATCTTTGATGCACAGAGGAATATTTTCTTCATTTTATCTTTAAATTGTATTTAAATTTATTTTACTTAGTTTTGATTTTACTGGAATATATCTCAGAATTGATCAATGGGGGGACTCCTGGGTGCTCAGTTGGTTAGGCCTCCAGCTTTGGCTCAGGTCATGATCTCACATTTCCTGAGTTCGAGCCCCATGTCAGTCTCTGTGCTGACAGCTCAGAACCTGGAGCCTGTTGCAGATTCTGTGTCTCCTTCTCTCTCTGCCCCTCCCCCACTTGCACTCTGTAGGTCTCAAAAATAAATAAAAAAACACATTAAAAATGTTTTAATAAAAAAATTTAAAAATAAAAAGAATTGACCAATAGGTCTTATCTATCTGAATGTATCTATTCAGATCTTATTTTATATCCTTTAATTGTATTAAAAGAGTTTAACTATCCTTTTAAATATTAGTTCTGTCATTGTTGTTTTAGTCTTCAGCCTCTCCAATTATATACACATTCGATCTTTGCCTGTTTTCTTAATAACTTTTAATGTGATCCTTGTTATCTTTTCTTTGATGTTAAACTTAAGCTCTTTTTATTGGAATTGTATATACTTTATTGCATTGCTATTGTCTGTGCTACTAATTGTAATTTAATCATAGCTATTCTCCCCTGGTCATTTAATACAATAAAATTAACATAAGTTAGTGTATATTGTAATATATTCCTATGGCTTTTTTTTAATTTGATTATCTCCCTGCTTATATCTTTCTGTTTTTCTATTTCTATTATGATTTATCTAATTATATTTAGTTAATAGTGTTGAGTTACTGCTTTTTTTTCATGCCTTCTTTTGGTGGTTGTTATTATTAGTGTTTTTGTCTCCTGCAAATTTTGAGTTTCATAATGTATTTTCTTCTTATATAAATTCCATATGTGTATTGAATTCTCTTCACTTAAATTCATAATTACTTTTTATTGGAATAGTAGGCATTTCAAAGGGAAGGGTTGGTATGACTTATTTGATTTCTTTGTTTAAGAGCATCTTCTGTTTCTATAGTAAAGTAAAATTTATTTTATTAAAAATAGTATCTTTTTTGATTTGTTTCTGCAGTCTTCTGATTCTTAGTGTCTTCTTTTACTATGGATTTGACTACCATTACCTTCTTCCTTCCCTTCAAGAGACACCTCCTATTTCTAAGATGTCTCCCTTTTTGCCAGAAGTGGTATTTTTCAGGACCACTCAGTCTGTTCAATAATTCCAAACCCCTTTCTTTTTTTTTTTTTAAATTTTTTTTTCAGCGTTTATTTATTTTTGGGACAGAGAGAGACAGAGCATGAACGGGGGAGGGGCAGAGAGAGAGGGAGACACAGAATCGGAAACAGGCTCCAGGCTCTGAGCCATCAGCCCAGAGCCTGACGCTGGGCTCGAACTCACAGACCACGAGATCGTGACCTGGCTGAAGTCGGACGCTTAACCGACCGCGCCACCCAGGAGCCCCCCAAACCCCTTTCTATTGCTCTCCTTAGGAACCAGTACACTGTTTTACTGGGTCTCAGAATTGTTCTTGAAGTTTTTCAGATTCAAGGTAGGTCCTTTTTTTCCTAGGAATGAACTCTGGTTGGTGTTATCTGTGTTCTATTAGTAGAACCTCACCAAAATTTCTTGTCAACACAGTTGCTGCCTCTTTGCCAAATGTGCTGCAGAGATCATTCTGCTGGTTTAGGACACTCGGTTTTCTTCCAACATGTGAATTTAATGTCCCAGTATTCTCTTCTCTTAGTTACAATGTAGTCATGGAATATGGCTTTATTGAAATTATATGGAGCGATTATAATTTAGTCTTCAGCCATCATATTAATAGTTCCATACTCTCAAGTCTCTTTTAACGTAGCTCCAACTCCCCTACTTTTTTGAAAAAAAAAAACCTCTTTTTAAGTTTTTTGTTGTTGTTGTTGTTGTTGTTCATTTATTTTTGAGAGAGAGACAGAGACAGAGCATGAGCATGAGCATGAGCAGGGAGGGGCAGAGAGAGGAGACAAAGAATCTGAAGCAGGCTCCAGGCTCCGAGCTGTCAGCACAGAGCCCAATGCGGGCTTGAACCATGAGATCATGACCTAAGTTGAAGTCAGATGTTTAACCATCTGAGCCACCCAGGAGCCCCTCCTTTTTTTTTTTTTTTTTTTTACGACAGCATTCATCTGTTGAAGAAACCAGAGCAGCTGTCATCAAGAATGCAAATACCTGATGGATTGATTTGTTTTTATTGTTTTGTTTGGCTTCTTTCTGAATCAAATAAGAAAATTTCTTAGGGCCCTTCATCTCACTTTATTAATAACTTCACATCTTCTCTCTTATATCTTACTCATACCAAAAACAAATTCCTTCACTTTTATATACTTTTAATGTTTATTTATTTTCAAGAGAGAGAGTGTGTAAGCAGGGGAGTGGCAGAGAGGCAGACAGAGGGTCCTCACTGAGCAGATCCTCACTGATAGCAGAGAGCCTGATATGGGGCTCAAACTCACAAACCATGAGAACATAACCTGAGTCGAAGTCAGATGCTTAACCAACTGAGCCACCCAGGGGTCCTGCAGCTTAGCTATTTTTTTTTTTTTTTTGGTTGTGGTCCCATTTACAGCTATGTCTTCAGATCTCAACTTTTGCATAAAAGTGTTTGTTATAAATATAGTCTAAATCTCGAGAGGAGTCAATTCTGTTTATGAGATAACTTTGGTAGCAGCTTTCTAATAAAAATAAAAAATAATAGTATCTAACATTCATTGTTATCTTTTGTCCTTGTTATTGGTGGTGGTGGTGGTGACTATCATGGTGCCATGCCTATCCAACTCCTTTATAAATATATTCCTAACACCTCTATCAAATAGATTATATTACATCATTTACTAAATTAAAAAAAAAAGCCCTGAAGCACAGAAAAGTTATGTAATTTGTGCAAGGTTATACAGAAAGTTAAGTGGGAGGAATGGGGCAAGATTTAATTGTAGGCACTGTGATTTTATAACTCTTCCCACCTTCAGCACTGGCATGGACTCCTTCATCATAACATTATCATTGTTACACAAGGATTACAAATCACTCTTTCAGGATATGATGTCTACTGAGAAGGGAAGAATATAACAGACATATACCCATCTGAGTTAGGTGAGCAAACTGTTGGCCTCACGTATATATTAGTATACATTTTTTAAAAAATTATCTTTAATGTGGGGCACCTGGGTGGCTCAGTCGGTTGAGTGTCCAACTTCAGCTCAGGTCATGATCTCACAGTTTGTGGGTTTGAGCCCTGCATCAGGCTTCCTGCTGACAGCATGGAGCCTGCTTGGGATTTCCTCTCTCTCCCTCTCTCTCTGTCCCTCCCCTGCTCACTCGTTCTCTCAAAATAAATAAACTTAAAAAAAGTTATAAAAAATTTTTCTAGTAGCTGCATTAAGAAATAAAAAAAATAGGGGCGCCTGGGTGGCTCAGTCAGTTAAACATCTGACTTCAGCTCAGGTCATGATCTCACAGTGCGTGAGTTCAAGCCCTGAGTCAAGCTCTGTGCTGACAGCTCAGGGCCTGGAGCCTGCTTCAGATTCTGTGTCTCCCTCTCTCTCTGCTCCTCCCCTGCTCACACGCTGTCTCTCTCTCTCTCTCAAAAATAAATAAATATTAAAAAGAATTTTAAAAAATTATCTTCAATGATTTGGGTACAAAGGTGTTATAAGATGATATTATAAGACAGTTTTGTGAGGCCCATGTGAGATTTTCCAGGGTCTTTTTGGGAGCTGTATTAGAGTGCAAAGGTTGTGGCTGAAAGAGAGTCTATCCAGAGTTCTAGTTTCACCCAGTTTGCCTCTGGGCAAGTTGCTTAAATTCTCTGTGCCTGAGTTCCCCTATCTGTAAAACATAAAATGGGAGGATTTACCATATAGATTTATTGGGAAATTGAAGGAGTTAATACATGTAAAACACTTAGAAATATAACTGGTGCACAGTATACAGTAGGTGGTAACTACCATTGTTTCTAGAGGACATTCAGTTCATCAGGATGCCTACTCCACATTAAACTTACTTCCATCTTTGGTTTCATTGTCCAGGCATCCACATCCCCTTAAATCCTGCTGTGTCCTGCCAAGGGAAAGTTGTGAAACTTAAACAGAAAAAGAAAGAACATTTCAAGTACACCCTGCTAAGGTCAGCAATGTCTCATTACCAAACCTCAAACATACCAGCCCCTGGCTCTTTTTTCCCAACCAGAGAGTCCTGCTTTCTTCATTTTGCCTGTTATATGCTGTGTATGTTTACAGACTTTGCTCAAGACCCATGACATTTTCCATCATCGTGGTGCCCTCGTTAATCTCTCTGCCCTGCAATGCCTACTCTCAGAATTTGTTGTATGGGGTCTAGAATTTAATAACACATTCTCCGGCCTTTTTCATCTTTTTTACTTTATGTGCGCATATATTTCTGCTACCATTTCATGTATGCACATCTCTTCTCTGCATCTGAACAATAAACTGTGAGGTCAGAGACACAGCAAACTTGTTTACAGTCCCTGCAGCAGGGGTAAAATGCCACATACTTGTGGGTGTTTGCTAAGTGATATTTATTTGTTCTTTTTCTTTCTAGTTTGAATGGAATCAGAAAAAGCTTGGAAATCTGGTACTCAGCTAGCCCTGCTAATGTCTTCATATTAGACTGAGCTCAGCCCCTTTGCCGTTTTGCAGTTTAGGAAGTGTGACATGTGAGGCTGACAGATGTGCATGCCCTCTAAAAAGGCAGTCTGAGATTTTCTGCAAAACCCACAGGGTGATGGTGTTTAGCAGCACCTTTTATGACACCACCGAGGAGAGTTTCTTCACTTCTGGGCCTGACTTTTGGTATCATTTGAGAACTAACTCACAACCCCATTCTTTTCAGGACATCGGTTCATCTTGGATCCTCAGAAATGGCTTTGAGCTTCCAGATCCCAGTTCTTGAGGACTGAAACTCTTGTCTTCCAGACCTTTCATTTTGCTCCCAGACAATAAATGAGAACTTCCTTATAGAGGATTTTTTTGTTGTGGTTGCAGTTATTATTTACAACATAAGTATTATACAGAACACGGTGTGCTTTCTTTAAGTAAGGAGAACATAAATCAAACTCAGATTTTATTGTGTTATTGACTACCATTAAGTTGTAATAGCTAACTCGGCCCATATGGCCGTTTGAGAGAATAAGTGTGTGTGCACACACACACACATCCTCAGGGCTGGGGACACGGGTGCGTAGCAAAACTCAGAACTCAGCACATCTAGTTTGCAAGTTCAGATTATAGGTTTATGGATTCAAGTGTACCGAGTTTCTCAAGTGTGTGCCCCAGTGCCAGCTCTGAGCTGATGTTATTCTTGAATAAAATGAAAACTACAAGCCAGAAGCAAAATGTAACAGCTTTGCCAGCTGTGAGCATACTGTTTACAGATTGAACCTGGGACCAAAACCATTATACAGTATACCTTATGACAACTCAAGAAAATATGTTTTGACAAACAGAGGTCTTCTTAAAAAAATAAGCAGGTGCAAACAAGAGCTCTCTTCTCAGTAGCACGCGTTCTACAATGCTTCTTCCCCTCTTCCAACCATCTCAGTTTAGATTTGCTCAGAGTAGATAGTGGTTTTCTTTACTAGGAACAAGCAGGACTTAGACAAATAGAAGATCTCTCTCTCTCTCTCTCTCTCTCTCTCTCTATATATATATATATACATATATATATCGTATATATTATAGACTTATACTTAGACAAATAGAAGATATTTCCCTCTCTATATATGGAGTATATATTATAATAATTATATGTCACCATTATTGCATTATATATAATTATATATTTAAATTATATATTTATAATTATATAACTATATATATAATTGCTTCAATCTTTCTGGGAACTACAGCCTCATTTTAAATGGTCCAGGGAGAGGCACCTGGGTGGTTCAGTCCATTAAGCATCCGACTTCAGCGCAGGTCATGATCTCACCGTCCGTGAGTTCGAGCCCCGCGTTGGGCTCTGTGCTGTCAGCTCGGAGCCTGGAGCCTGCTTCGGATTCTGTGTCTCCCTCTCTCTCTGCCCCTCCCCCCACTCGCACTCTGTCTCTGGAAAAGAAATAAATGTTAAAAAAAATGTTTAAAAATAAATAAATAAATAAATGGTCCAGGGAGAATGTTAAGGATTAAAACCTTGATTGTTTTCCATTGTCCTTGGCTGTGAATTATTTGCCAGCTTGGATAAATAGAATTTATTTAGGCAGCTGAACTGTATACATGTCACTAAGTATTTTGTTTTAAGAAGCTATAAATTGTATTCGCAATAATCTTGAACTCAGAGGTGAGGCTATATAGGAAAACTGGAAATGGATCCTAGAGCAATTATACGGATGGTTCTGATAATTTTTTTTATCAATTATTTGGGTAGTTCATACATTGGTAGACATGCATTCAGTATATTAAAACTGGTCCTGGAAGTGAAAATACTGCTTTAGGAAATTGAACACAACTTGATTTATTGCCTACTATGAAATTGTTAATGAGTGAAGCACAAGGAATACAAAGATTTGTAAGATGTTGCCTTTCTCCAAGTAGCTCAGTGTCTACTGGGTTATTTGTATAAGTCCTCAATTCCAAATTTCGTAGACAGATCTTCCTTGACTTACAATGGTGTTATGCCCTAATAAACTCATCATAAGTTGAAATACTGTAAGTTGAAAATGCAGTCAGTATACCTAACCTACCAAACATCATAGCTTAGTCTACCTTAAACAGCTCAGAGCACTTACATTAACCTACTGTTGGGCACAATCACCTAACACAAAGCCTGTTTTAAAATAAAGCATTGACTATCTCATGTAATGTGTTGACTACTGCACTGAAAGTGAAAAATGGGATGGTGTGTGGGTACAGATGGTTGTTAGTTTACCAGGTTTTACCCTCATGCTCGTGGCTAACTGGGTTTTGCAGCCACTGCCTCTGCCCCGCATCACAGGAGAGGACCCTCCCACATATCCCTAGTTCAGAAAAAGACCCTCATCCAAAATTCAAAGTATGGGTTCTACTGAATGTACACCACTTTTGCACCATGGTGAAGTCGAAAATTCGTAAGTTTAATTGTTTTAAGCTGGGGAGCATCTGTATATCCAAGAGTAAATGTTTAGAGAAGTCACAGAGACATGTGATTTAAAGACAGTAACCGTCTTAATTGTTCAGGGACATGGATTAAAGAGAAGAGGGAAAATGTATTGCTGCATGTATAATTATAGACATTCTTTTCTTCTATTCCTTTCTATACAGAAATAAAAATATCTTGAAAAGATAGAAGAAAAATGTTTATTGCCATGTTCATTATATCAGGTACTTGAATGCATCATTAAATAAACAAAGCCCTAGCTACAGTTAAGAAATGACTTAGAACCACTAGTTACGTTTGGATTGGATCAATGTCTTCCAAGTTACCTGGACACATTTAGGACAACTGAAATTCAATATACATTTCCCAAAAATATGTTAATTCATAATCTCCCACTGTCTTTACTCTGCTGTAGAAGTTCTATTAATTGCAGAGTTCCCTCAAGAACTGAAGAAACAGAAAACACAGTATCGTAGGATGTCTTTTTACCTTACTTCAGTCAATTAATATAGTCTACAGATATGGGAAATTCTAAAAATTAAAACAAATGTAATACTGTAAAGTTAAAACATTGGCATCTAAAATTAAAAATAAAAATTAGGGTTGACACATTTTCTGAAGAGTTATTTGATCCTTCATAGGACATTTCAAGGATTGACAGTGTAGTGAGCTAATTATACATGATACGAAGAATAACAAAATGCCCACCCTTCCTACCAGTGAAAAAAGTGTTATAAGATTTCAAAGGTTCAAGTTAAAGCACTATAATAAGGCAAATGTTTGTTACGTTTCACCTATAATTAATATTTTAGTTGACATTAATTAAGAAAACAGTTGTATCTATCAGATATAGTAGGAGGTCACAAGGCAGGCAGGCTTTGAAAGGAGAAGTGGTTCATGGCATACAGTAATAAGCTTGAAACATTTTGCTCCTATACATCATCTTGAGAATGTAACTTCCAGCATATTCTAAGTATTAAGGCTTTGAAATCATTGTATCACTTCTCTAAATGTATTCAATAGAATGGAAATAGCATAGTAACTTGATACTCACCATCAACCATTTTAAATAAATGCAGGAACAATTTTATATTTTATTTGTACATTTCAAAATCATATTTTTGGGGGTGCCTGGGTGGTTCAGTCAGTTAAGTGTCCAACCCCTGATTTCAGCTCAAGTCATATCTCACTGTCGATGAGATGGAGCCCTGTGTCAGGCTCTGTGCTGACAGTATGGAGCCTGCTTGGGATTCTCTCTTTCTCTCCCTCTGGCCCTCTCCCTCTGGCTCTCTCCCACTCTCTTTTTGCCCTCTCTCTCTCTCTCTCTCTCTCAAAATAAATAAACATTTTTTAAAAATCATATTTTCATTTTATTTCTTCCACAAAATTCTGTTCTAATATACTATTTATACTTGAAAGTGTTTGGGGCACCTACAATATCATATTTCTTTGCAACAACAACTATATATATATCTTTTTTTCCTGTGACCGGAGGCTCTGTGATGTTATAAAAAAATTCATCTGGATTGAGTTTTATTATAATTATTGTTAGTATACAATTATTCAAAACAAATAAATGATACATACTTTTTAAGCCAAAAATAGAATCGGAAATGCTTTTCTTAATGATGTGAGTGGAAGTAGAGATTAGATTAAGGGGGGAGGGTTAAATTATCCCTTTATTTTGTACTTTTTTTTTTTAAGTATCTTTGGGCAATGAACCATAGTAAGATTCTGGACAGGTGAGATGAAAGGGGAAAAGTAAGATGGAAGGTGGAGAAGAATTGATTGACATCTCAATTGCAGATACATTGGGCAAATCATATGGAAACTGAAATTCTGGAAATTGATTGACTTAATATTATTCATGCCAGAGTACCTCTAAGAGAGTTTTCATGCACTGTCAGAGATAAGAATACCTCAGTTTGAACTGTTGGCATAGCATGCAGTCTAGGAAAGCATTCTGG